GGTGATGCTTGTTTATTTATTTACTTACTTAACTGCTTATTTACTTTGTTTACTGACTTACCTGCTACTTAAGTATCTGCTTTTCTTTCTAGCTACTTAGCTACATTCTTTTGAAAATTTGCTTCTTTTAACGCTTCCTTTACTGGACATAGCAATGCACATTGTTCTGATTGCACTATGTTGTTGCTCAGCTGGTCTTGCCAAAACATCACATGAAGCAGTAAGTAAGTAAGTAATTTCATCTTGATGTGACCTATAGGAAACTCACTTCACTTAATTGAAATATTGTGTTATTTATTGAAGCAAACATCGTGATAAGTAATGGCTATTTGAATTAATTATTTTTAATGTATATCGGAAGCACATCCATTAATATCTACGCATTTGCTTGTTTATTTACCAAGATGCTTACTTACGCGAAATACATAAGTACTTACTTGCATCAGTGCTGCTCAACGTGTTAAATGGTAACTCCTGTGATGATGAAACTTCACTGAGCTATGATTATTCATTCATTCTAATGCTATATAATTTCTCAAAGCGATATGATGCGGCAGCATACAACGAATAGCAGGTTCTGAAACAACGTCCATGATGATGAGCGACAGGTAGCTCAAGCGAACGAAGTGATACGCTATACGTCTGTCACTGCAGATGCTCCAGTGCTATTGAGCTGTGACCTGCTTAAATGACTCCTCGAAGCAACGAGGGCGAAGAGGGCGGTACAGTAACCCGTAGATTTCGGACTTGGAAGAGTTATGCATTATCGAAGCGATCTTTGTAACGTTGAACTGTGACTATTTCCTATCCCGTTTTCTGCTAATACACTTACAACGCACGTCGTTGTCTCTATAGCGTTTCGAATTTATTGTCTTAGCATTCCTTATGCTAGTTTTGTATTTGAATTCCAATGCGTTTGAGGGACATGAAACAGCGTTGAATTTCTTTCAGGCCTCATCGTCAGCTCTCTGAACACCGCCTACACGATCAGCAAGTTCTTGATTGGCGTTCTGTCTGACCGAGTCAGTGCGCGTTTGCTTTTCGGCTCTGGTCTTGGTCTGTCCGCTTTGTCCGTGATCGGCTTCAGCTTCTCGAGGCGGACGTCGCTGTACTCGCTGTTCTGGTTTTTGAACGGTCTTGCCCAAGGCTGCGGTTGGCCGGCATGCTCCAAGCTCCTGCGCAAGGTAATCTGTTGTACTGATCGTTTCTCGTGTTTTTTATTGACGCGTGTCAAGAATCTTCCCTTTCAATATAAATAAGAGAATCAGACGCGAAAACACTTTTAACAGTAACACAAACAAACAAAAAGATGTCATGACCAACCGATTATGCAACAGGCACATGAAATGCAGCTTCCCGTAAGGCAACGTGAACGTCACTGTCAGTTGAGTGCTGACTGTCAGTCAGTGCAAAAGACGAACGTTCGTCAGTTGAGGAAGCAATGATAACCTGAATCATTAGAAATCCTCATACCTTTTTAAGATTATTCTGTCCTGATGAGGTCTATCCATTTAAAAGCCGGGCAACGACATGAGGTCACCGTCCACATTAATTCCAAAAGAAAGCACAGTTTCAGTTATTTTAAGTCATGGCGTTTGTCGTCTGATTATAGGAGGGCAAACCATCGATGAAATGGACAGTACTTGATGGATGATTTCAAGGGAATCGAAGGAAAATGTATCCAGTG